CCGTTGGGGGATGAAGCATAACTCTTCGCGTGAAGCATACTTGTGCTCCACATGGGAGCACGAACTATGCTCTGGATTGATGTAAAAAGAAAAAAGGTGAAAAATGAAACAAATGGGGAAAACCAATGAAACATCAAACAAAACTCCCTAGGAAAATCAAGAAAACAAGAAAAAGAGGAAAAGTAGGAAAAAAAGAAAAAAAATCCCTCCCGAGAGTGCTTTCCACACACGACATATGTCAGATGGGGATCGCTCCTCTTTGTGCATGAGAACATCCTCTGAAAAGCTCATCCAAGGCACCCTTAATTAGTTGCTCCTAAATAACAGAAGAGACTGCGTAAGTATTGATGGCCGAAAGTTAACACCCATCCCATGGATATTAATGAGGGCCCAATAAAAGGCCTCTCTTGCCACACAACACCGAGAAAGAAAAGGAGAGAAAAGGATTGCTACCACAACAGGAAACCTAACAATATTTGTTTACGAAATATAAATCAATTAGGGAGAGAGTACATTCTGGCAACTCATGAATAGTCCCTTTTACTGCACAGTTCAAACCACGTCACAAACCTCGCACAATCACAAACTGCACGTCAACACATACACACGCGCGCACACACAGACACACACACAAATGGCGGCATATCACATGCAAATGCAACTAAACCATGCAAATTAGACCCCCACAAGCAACACACATTAGACAATATTAATTATTGCGGCATCCTAATCTTAATAATGCCACTACCTTACTTGACACTACTATAGTTAGTCACTCCGCCTTGGCCCTCATCGGCGAAGTGAATGTCACTGCCAGCTCTAGCGTATCTCCTTCATTTCAGTGGTGAACGGGTCGTACCACCGGAACATCTCCATCACCATGGGCCTCTCAACCGCCACCACCATGTCCTCCCCCTAGTATTGCTTGTTCCCCTCCACCAGTTGGACCACATCACATTCTTGAACACACCTCGTGCCACTGCTTGTGGCTGGTGGGCTGCTGACTCATTCTCCCGCCCTAGATGCCATATGGGAGGGTGTGGTAAACTTTTGCTCGGCATGTTGTCATAGCTACGAAGGTCTCGTCGACCCTAGTGATTCATCTCCAACGACGGCGAGGCTCGATCTGGGTGAAAGTTGTGTTGGAACCCATTGCATTTCCATATTACAGTTTAGGGTCCTTGTAAAAGTCAATGACTAGTCCTCAGGTACTTGTTTCTATTCGAATCCTTTTCTGATCTTTGTGATGTAAATGCCTATTAAGAAAAGTATGTGCAATCATTTATCACCAACTTTACGCTCTGTTTATAAACTCCATTATTGCATAGGCAGTGACCCAACAACTAGTGCTTGCGTTGTTGCTAAATAGCGACCGTGTAATTTGACAACCGAATTTGTTTTGACTATTAGGGCAAGAAAAGTCAACCGAATATTGTTAAGTTTTTTAACATGGAATATTGTTAAATTAGTGTATCATTCATTTCACTAAGCAAACTGTTTTGACATTAAATACTACCTTGATTTCAAAATATAAAATGTTTTGGTACGCCTAATATTCACATCAAGATAAAAGTGTAGTTTAGTGACATGTGATGTCAAAAATGTGCGTTGGTTTCCCCAAAAAAAGGAAAAGTGCATCGGTGCGGTTCCTGAACCAAAGTGTGAATTTTTTAAATGTTGTGTCAAAAAGGCACACTTGTGATTTTTCTAGAACACAATACAGATGTAGGCGTTCGCTTTGTAGTTGACAGGAACATCTCCTCTCACTAAACACGCATCACCGAAAATCTTGAAATAAATTAAAAAATAATGCGAGCAATAGGATTTGAACCCTAGTGAGCTAGGATGCCATTTTCCTACTAACCATCCAACCATAAGTTGGTTCACACATGATCATGGTTCTGAAAGACATTTGTGGGTGCATGCCAAGAGTGAGGCTCTGTGAGATGCTACATAAAACGAGCGTGGGTAATGTGGAATGCATGCTTAAATGTATTTTAACAACAGAGGTGTGATTTCTCTCTTGTAAAATGCCGACGTACTATGTGTTTTGTCTAGTTTTCCATATGCAAGTTTGATCGCTAAATTATGGTACTAGCCCCGCCAGACAAATGATCTCTCTTTCGTGTTACTTACGGCAGAAGTGTGGATCTTCACTAGATGCCCCTCCTGGTCTCCCATTATCAAAGTCTGGTACTCCCTATGTAAAAAATATAAAAACGTTTAGATTACTACATATTTGCCAAACAAAAATAAACAAGGAAGAGAGTGCATCCTCGCAAATCATGAATGTAAATAAAGCTTTTTATAAGACAGTTCAAACAATCACACCCCAAAGAACTTTACATAATTGCCAACACACGCACATCACATGCAATTCCAAACTAAAAGCCAAATCATGCAGATTTGACCAGAGATGCAACAAATATCCGACCAGTAGCACGATGATTGTGGTAGCGCTGCCGCCATTTGGCACTATACCAGTACAGTAGTGCTTTACTATAGGTCACTCTGGCTTGTGCTCTGGATTGATGTAAAAAGAAAAAAAGGTGGCAAACGAAACAAACTGGGAAAACCAATGAAACATTGAACAAAACCCCCTAGAAAAATCAAGAAAGAAGAAAAAAAGAGGGAAACCAAGAAAATATGGAGCAAAAACTCTCGCCCGAGAATGCTTTCCACACATGACATGTGTCAGATGGGGAGTGCTCCTCTTTGTGCATGAGAACACCATCTGAAAAGCTCATCCAAGGCACCCTTAATTAGTTGCTCCCAAATAACTTAAGACACTGCGTAAATATTGATGGCCGAAAGTTAACACCCAGCCCAAGGATATTAATGAGCGCTCGATAAAAGGCCTCTCTTGTCACACAACACCGAGAAAGAAAAAGAGAAAAAAAGGATTGCTAACACAATAGGAAACCTAACAATATTTGTTTACGAAATATAAATCAATTAGGGAGAGAGTACATCCTGGCAACTCATGAATCCACCCTTTTATTGCATAGTTCAAACCACATCCCAAACCTCACACAACAAACCGCACGTCAACACATGCGCACGCGCGCGCACACACATAAGTGGCAGCACATCACATGCAAATGCAACTAAACCATGCAAATTAGACCCCCACAGGCAACACACATTAGCTGGTACTAATTATTGCGGCATCCTAATCTTAATAATGCCACCACCTTACTTGACACTACTATAGTTAGTCACTCCGCCTTGGCCCTCATCAGCGAAGTGAATGTCACTGCCAGCTCTAGCGTATCTCCTTCATTTCAGTGGCGAACGCATCGTACCACCGGAACATCTCCATCACCATGGGCCTCTCAATCGCCACCACCATGTCCTTCCCCTAGTATTGCTTGTTCCCCTCCGCCGGCTCGCTGTTTTCGGCCAGTTCGACCACATCACATTCTTGAACACACCCTGTGCCACTGCTTTGTGTTTGGTGGGCTACTGACTCATTCTCCCGCCCTAGATGTCGTATGGGAGGGTGTGGTAATCTTTTGCTCGGCATGTTGTCACAGCTACGAAGGTCTCGTCGACCCAAGTGATTCATCTCCAACGACGGCGAGGCTCGATCTGGGTGAAAGTTGTGTTTGAACCCATTGCATTTCCAAATTAAAGTTTAGGGTCCTTGTAAAAGTCTCGGACTTACTCCTCATGTACTTGTTTTTATTCGAATCCTTTTCTGATCTTTGTGGTGTAAATGCCTATTAAAAAAAGTATGTCCAATCATTTTATCACCAACTTTACGCCGTCTTTAGAAACTCCATTACTGGATAGGCAGCGACACAACAACTAGTGCTTGTAGTTGCTAAATAGCGACCGTGTAACTTGATAGCCGAATTTGTTTTGACTATTATTAGCGCAAGAAAAGTCAACCGAATATTATTAAATTAGTGTATCATGCATTTCACTATGCACACTGTTTTGCCATCAAATACTACCTCCATTTCAAAATATAAAATGTTTTGATAGGTCTAATATTCACAGCTACAACTAAAAGTGTAGTCAGTGACATGTGATGTCAAAAAGTGCGTTGGTTTCCCCCCGAGAAAGAAAAGTGCGTTGGTGTGGTTCCTGAACCGAAGTGTGAATTTGTGAAATGTTGTGTCAAAAAGGCACACTCGTGGTTCTTTTTTTTAGAAGACAATACATACGACATATCATCTTCAGATTGACGAAGTCACTACAAACGCTTCATAGTCGATGGGACCGTCTCATCCCACTAAACGTGCATTGCCGAAAATCCTAAAATAAGTCCAAAAATAATATGAGCCACAGTTTAATATCACTGTCCTCCTAACCATCCAACCACAGTTTGTTTTGGGCATAGTCATGGTTCTGGAAGACATTTATGGTTGCATGCAAAGAGTGAGGCTTTGTGAGATGCTACGTAAAACAAGAGTGGGTAATGTGGAATGCATGCTTATAAATGTGTTTTAACAATAGAGGTGTGGTTTCTCTCTTGTAAAATGTCAACGTACTCTGCGTTTGGTCTAGTTTTCCATATGCAAGTTTGATCGCTAAATTATCGTATTAGCCCCGCTAGACAAATGATCTCTCTTTCCTGTTACTTATGACAGAAGTGTGGATCTTCACTCGATGCCCCTCCCGGTCTCCCATCATTAAAGTCTAGTACTCCCTCCATAAACAAATATACTCCATAAGAATAGTTTAGATCACTACATATTTATTACCAAACAAAAATAAATAAGGAAGAGAGTGCATCCTCGCAAATCATGAATGTAAATAGAGCTTTTTTATTGGTAGACAGTTCAAACGATCACACCCCCAAAGAACTTTACATAATCGCCAACACACGCACATCACATGCAATTCCAAACTAAAAGCCAAATCATGCAGATTTGACCAGAGATGCAACAGACATCCGGCCAGTAGCACTAGCAATTATTGTGGATTGGGGCAGCGCTGCCGCCACTTGGCACCGGCTGCACTATAGTAGGACAGTACTGCTCTGCTATAGGTCACTCCGCCTTGGCCCTGGTCAGCGAAGTGAACGTCACCACCGGCTCCAGCGGCATCTCCTTCACGTCGGCGGTGAATGTGTCGTACCGCCGGAACAGCTCCGCCACCATCAGCCTCCCGACCGCCACCACCATGTCCTTCCCGGGGCACTGCTTGTTCCCCTCCGCCGGCTCGCTGTTCTCCGGCCCGTTCGACCAAACCACGTTCCCGAGCAGCCGCCCTTCGCCGCCCACGAACCGGTCAGGGACGAACTCGCCGGCCTGCTTGAATACGCGCTCGTCGCGGGTCGCCAGAGGCTGGTACCCGAAGAGCATCTCGCCCTTGCGCACCTGGTAGGCGGCGGCGTGGCTCTCGACCACCAGGTCCTGGCGCGCGCGGCCGTACTGAAACTCCACCGGCGGGTTCATGCGCAGCGCCTCCCACACCACCGACTTCACCAGCGGCATCTTGTCGACGGCGGACACGGTGATGTCGCTGCCGTTGGGCACGGCGGCGCGGACCTCGCTGGCGAGCCTGGCGTGCAGAGCCGGGCCGGCGCGGGCTAGCCACTTGATGACGTGCGGCAGGAAGATCTTGAAGCCTCCGTAGGCGTTGAAGATGGCGGTGAAGACTAGGTTGTGGAGGAGCTCGTCGCGTGAGATGCCGGACTGCGCCTTGTCAGCGTCGTTGAGGAAGCCGGCGGCAGCTTCGGCGAAGTACGCTGTCAGGTCGGCGTAGTCACGGCGAACCAGCAACGGTGGCAGGCGGAAGGTGTGGAGAAGGAGATCCTCGAGCAGCCACGGCTTGATGATCTTACTCGCGAGCGGGTGCAGCTGCACGCCGAGCCACTTGATGGCCTTGGTCACGGCGCCGTCGCCCATGGCCTTGCTCGGCGGCGTGCCGCCGAACAGTGCGGAGCAGGTGAAGTCGAACATGTGGTGCTCGTTGAGCTTGTTGAACTGAACGGGGCCGTCGCCGAGGCCGGCGTCGGCGGCGTCGAACACGGCGCCGAAGGCGATGCGGAAGACCGGCGCGACGTGGTGCATCCGCGCGGCGGCGAGGCTGATCATGACGCGCTTTAGCGCGGCATGGCGGGGGTCGGCAGCGTCGAGGAAGGCGAGCGGGCGGTAGCCGCCGAAGAGCGCGAGGGAGGGCATGAAGGTCCCGTCGAGTGTGTCGGTCTTGTCGACCTTGGCGTCGTCGAGGAGCACGCTGAAGCTGCGCGCGTCGAGGAAGGCAACGACGCGGGAGTCGGCGGTGATGAACGGCCCGGGGGGCATGTTGACGCGCAGCACGGTGGCGCCGCCGTTCCGGGCGATGCGGGAGCGGAAGTACTCCTCCGCGCCCTGGAAGTAGTAGTAGTCAAGGCGGTCGCGCAGCGGCGACAAGAAGGGAACGCCGTAGCCGCCCGGGACCTCCCGGACGGGGAGCCCCGACGGCGATAGCTTGGCATCCGCATTGTCGCTGCCGGAGCTGTTGGCTACCTTGGACGTCATGGCAGGGTGAGCAAGCGCCAGTCTATCACCAAATGCAATGCTCAGCTCTAGGCTGTAGCTGGTCTTGGAGAGTGACCAGCTCTTCTGCATTATATAGAAAAGAGGTACGTACATACACAGTGCTCAAGGGCCAAGGCATCCGCATGTTGTGCCAAAAAAACGAGAGAGGTGTTGGCACGCAAGGGTTCCTTTGCGCTGTGCCACCAAATCTACCTTACCAAATATTTGGCCATGTCCAACATATTGGTTCTTGTTTCGATGATTGCCAACGTTTTAGCATGGGCTAATGCTTATATGAAGCATCACCAACAGCCGCGCAACAAGCGGCGCGTTAAAAGGCGTTTATAGTACTGGAATAGGCAGTTTTTACGTGCCGCGAGACACTGGCTCCAGCTACCACTGCAAAAAATTACGCGCGCCGCTCCAGCAGACGCGCTAAACTACAGCGCGCGAACAGCCGCGCTTGCAATATGTTTATTTTAAAGACAATATGTTGATATTTCAAACATCAAAACAAGACATAGCATAGTTTAAAATCACTAAACCAAGTTCATGACATAAAAGTTTAAAATCATGCCACATCACATTATCATCCAACCAAGTTCAAATCAACCAACCAAGTTCATGACATAAAAGTTCACACAAACAAATGGCGGATCGAGTCTTCACGACGATGAGGACTTTGCTTAGTGATCCATGACTCGTGGCAGCGGCATCAGCAAGTGGGGGCGGCAGCACAAGCGGAGTACTGGGTCTTAACTTTCAGGGTGAAAACCCAAGGTCTGGCCTCAATTGGTTGTGACTGGTAATGGCCTTGTTGAAGGCATTGTTTTGAGAACGCGAATCTTCTCCAGGGTGAAAACCTAAGATTTAGGATCGGACGATGACGGTGCTTCTGCACTGTTTCCTTCTTCGAGGCATCACTTTTGGAAAACTAGGACTTCGGGTGTTGTCTAGGCGGTGGTTCGTGATGTAGCTACGAGTAATTGATCACTGTTGTTGGATCTTTCTTCTTCTTCTTCTTCTTCTTCTTCTTATTGTTTTTGGCTGTGTGCATCCGCAGTCTCTTTACGATATTGCGTTGTTGCAGAGGCCGGGTATAATTGGTATCTCCGCGATATTAACATATTGCCTTTGTCGAAAAAATGTCGCATCCTCATCTTCGTCCTCCTCTTCCTTCTATTCTTCATCCTCATCCAAAGACGATTCTTTCTCCTCCTCTTCATTGTGTCGTGTCGCATCATCATAGGAAGCTCGGAAGGTGTTGGCAAGATCTTCAATGGCATCATGCGAAGGTATATGAGGCACACCGAAAGATATGCGTCCACCCATGTCACCCGAAGGTGCTCCCATGCCTCTCATGGTAGCTCCGAAGCCACCCATGCCTCCCATGCCGCCCATGGTAGCTCTAAAGCCACCCATGCCTCCCATGGTAGCCATGCCTACCATGCCACCCATGCCTCCTATAGTAGCTCACATGCCTCCCATGGCCATGGCTTTTTTTGGATCAAGACTTCTTCACGGGCAAGATTGACGTACTCTTTCTGCTTCTCATCGATGTGTCCATAAAAAACAAGTACTTCTCCGATTCCAACAATCTAGTTTTTCTCCTCCATGGTCAATTTTTTCTCTTCCAATGCCACCTTCCTCTCCTCGGCCGCCAACCTCCTCTTCTCGGCCGCCACATTTTGGTTCCTTGCCATCTTCCTCACCTCGTTCGCTTCATTTCTTGTGTTCACAATAGCTTACATAACATTTTTAGCTCATCATCTCCTTTCCTCTTTTTCTTTTCTTTTCTGTCTTTCTTGCATCCATTTGGTCTTTTTGGCCTGGAGTACGCAACTGAGTTTGGTGTAGGGCTTCTCTTGCCGTCATCACTTGATGCCTCCTCCTCCTCGTCATCCAAATCAATAGTTCGCTTGCGTTTGTTGCTCTCCTCATCGACACCTTCACGGGGCTTCCATTTCTCATCATCCTTCAACGCATCATATCAACGAGGCAAGGTAAATGGTCTCCCTTTCTTGATCTTCCCTTTCTTGGTCTTCTTCTCCTCTCCTTGAAATAAGTTTTGTGCAATAGTGAGCTACAAACAAAAGAACAAGTTAGCACTTGAAACACCAAGAAGAAGCATGAACATGGAAGAATCGTGAAAGAAATGGCACTTACCCTATTTCTATCATTAGTGCCACTTGGGTTTAACGTGTTAACCACCTTAAGTGCTGCCGCCCACCTTTGACAATCTTTGTTGATTGTCGACCACTGGGAGCGAAGAGATCATTCTGTGCGGTCAATTCCACTTCTGTTGTGTAAATCAAAGTGCTCCTTCATACGGATCCAATATGCATATCTACTTTGGTCCCCTCCAACGGTGGCATCCCCAGACACTTGCAACCATGGATTGCATATCAAGATGTCTTCGTCGATGGTGTAGTTGCCCGCTCTTTCTTTCGGTGCATCGACGATACCCTCACCATCCTCGTCCACCTCAAACTCATGACCATCGAAATGCACATAATTGCTTTGAGACCAATGAGAATTGTTGGAGCCGACACCCATAGTTGACATATATGTCTCATCATTGAAACTACAAAGTATATACAACAAAACAAATAAGTTATCCATATGCATTCAAAAAACAATAACGAAAAAAGTGGGCCAAATTTTACCTTGTGGGCATTTCATCGAACACCTTGTGCGCATCGGCCGCCGGCGCAACAAGCGAGCTCGCCGGTGCTTCGGTCGCCGCCGCATCTGTCGCACGCCCTGCAAGTTTCTTCTTCGGCCGCCTAGAGGAGTCGTCTGCCGCCTTGTTCTTCTTCCCGGACACCTTGCCCGCCTTCGCCACCGCCACATTTGGGAGCTTGGAGAGAGGGGCACGTGGCTTCACAGCGGACGCCGGCGCAACGCCACTCGCCACCCAGGTCATCCGTGGCGCCATGAAAAGGCTGCACGCAAGACTGGTGCCTGGAGGAACACCGCAGAAGGCGAAGCCAAAGCTCCCCGCGCTAGGGTTTGCGCCGGCGGCGGCGGAGGGGTCGCAGGTGTAGGAAGGGGTGAGAGGGATGTTGGCGCGGCCGTCCATCGGGAGAATTTGCCGGCGGCGGCACGGGCGAAGCGAACGCGACGTGGCCGGAGAGGGTGCGGCGCGGGCGCTCGAGTGTGCAGCACGCGGGAGCGAGCACACGAAATAAGCGGCGCGCGACACCGTTTTGCCCGATGCGCTGAACAACTTATGCCGCGCACGCGTTTTTTGCGCCTCCGCTGAAGCGCCCGGAGCGGCTGTGCACACAAAAAACTGTATTTTTTCAGCGCGGCACTTATATCACGCGGTTGTTGGAGATGCTCTGAGACCGGCAAAGCAAAATATCAACTAAGTAAAATTTAGCGAACTAATTGTTGGTATGGAAAATTTAGACACAAACAAAAATATAGGAACTCAGGGCCTCGAGCAATGGCTCATAGTGTATTAGATTCCGTAAAGTCTTGCCAATGTGTATCTGTTCTAAAAGGATTCTAATAAATTAAGTTTACTTTAATATGGGTTTTATTTGAGCATCCTCCTCTCTCACCTCACTAGCAACTATAGCCGGACTTTGCAAATCCGCTCCCTTAAACATCCGAGGATGTGCCCGTAATCAGTCACCCCTTAAATATCTGCTTCCACAATCAGATACCTCACTTAGCAAATCCTTAAAGAGTAAAATGCATATGCGGTTATTGAACTTGTGTCGAAAGCTTACTTTGGTCACCGTATTTAAGAATATGGTCAATACGGTCATTATATACGACTTAAGATGATTATACGATCACTGGCTTATCATATAACTTCGTATTTTACTCTATTGGCTGGTCAAACATCACAACACCCTCTCTCTACCTATGCGGGTCCCACCTGTTAGTGGGCAAGAAAAAATAAGGATCACTGGAGAATCACACCAGTGATACTCTACCGATGCCCACGTACGCTAACCTATGTGGCTCTCTTCTACACAACTTTGTGTTAAATCCATAGAGCGCTACGGTTATTTCTTTTTTGAGGATGAACGTTATGGTTATTTAATTAACACGCACACAATACACTTTCACACAACACACTTACATGCATGCACGCACCACTTTTGCAGCCGCCGTCCCGTCGAAAACCGTACGCCGACCGCAATGAGATGAGAAATTGTTGGACTACTTAGACAACACGAGTTCGAGACGTGACATCGTAATGTCGCAGCTCTTCGTCGGTGTCTAAGGGAGTCCTGGATTAGGGGGTCTCCGGACAGCCAGACTATATCTTTTGGCCGGACTGTTAGACTATGAAGATACAAGATTGAAGACTTCGTCCCGCGTCCGGATGGGACTTTCCTTGGCGTGGAAGGCAAGTTTGGCAATACGGATATGTAGATCTCCTCCCTTGTAACCGACTCTGTGTAATCCTCGCCCCCTCCGGTGTCTATATAAACCGGATGGTTTAGTCTGTAGGACAACAACAATCATACCATAGGCTAGCTTCTAGGGTTTAGCCTCTACGATCTCGTGGTAGATCAATTCTTGTAATACTTATATCATCAAGATCAATCAAGCAGGACGTAGCGTATTACCTCCATCAAGAGGGCCCGAATCTGGGTAAACATCGTGTCCCCAGCCTCCTGTTATCATCCGCCTTAGACGCACAGTTTGGGACCCCCTACCCGAGATCCGCCGGTTTTGACACCGATATTGGTGCTTTCATTGAGAGTTCCACTGTGCCATCACCATAAGGCTTGATGGCTCCTTCGATCATCGATAACGATGCGGTCCAGGGTGAGGTTTTCCTCCCCGGACAGATCTTCGTATTCGGTGGCTTCGCACTGCGGGCCAACTCGCTTGGCCATCTGGAGCAGATCGAGAGCTACGCCCCTGGCCATCAGGTCAGGTTCAGAAACTTAAACTACATTGCCGACATCCGCGGAGACTTGATCTTCGACGGATTCGATCCCATGTCAGGTGCGTCGCACAATCACGGCGAGCATGACGTAACTCTGTCGTCGGACAGTGTTCGGGAGATCACACCTGCAACTACTCCGGTCCTCAATCTGGAGCAAATTGCGCCATCTGAGGACAGAGGGATAGATCCCGCCACG